CATTCTGCCATCCCTGCCACACAACTTTCTCTGGATCACTGGGCTTCGGGTCCAGGGGCTTTCAGTCTGTTGGTTGTGGCTTTGGATCCAGAGGGTTCCAGTCAGTGGGTTGTGCTCCTCACACATTCTCATCTCTAAATTATGGATCTAACTTTTACCGTCCCWCCTATTTCTCCTCCAGAAGTTGCCAGTCTGCTTCTTACCAACTGCCCTGTGGATCTGGCTTCTACTAATCATATGTATTAGGTGAAGAGAAATTTAAAACCTTACTATCTTAAGATCCATGCTGTTTTTTGATCTCCTATATATTCTGTCAACAGCCTAAAAATTTGCTTCTACGTTTACCCCCGTGAATTAGGAATAACTTGAATTCCAGTGGTTGGGAAATGTATTCTTTGGAGATAGATGTTAAAACTTCTTTWAAAAAAAAAWTTTTAGATAGGCATGCAATAATTGAAGCATAATTCTTTCTTCATGGACCTCCTAGTTATATAAATTTTACAAAGTAAAAAGTGTTGTAAGTTTAAATAAAATTATGTTATATCTTTCTATCGTGTTAGTATTTTCTTTTCCTTTAAAACTCYTTCTAAATATGTGTCTGGGTTTTCCTGTATCTTCTACTTATCATTTAAGGTTTTAAACTTTAAAGAGTATAATCATTTTTTTGATTCAAAAGATGTTTTTTTCATCTTTTATATTCACTCAATATTTTTACATGGGAGAAGAAGGAACACAATTTCAAAACAACAAACTCATACCTGGCTTATTACTATGTAGAGAGTTAAAACTCCAATATTTAAATGTTTATAATTTGCAAGGAGTATTAAATTGTCTCTGTCACTTAATTTTGGAAGAAAKATTACTCAAAAAAATATGTTCTAAAATGCATGGGAACTTGTAATGAAGGTATCCAAAAAGAAGTTAGATGATAGTGAGTTAGATTCAGCAAGGGCTTCAATTCTGCTAGCCTTAYTACCAGATTAAAAATCCAGTTTCTAAATGAAATCTTTAACATATTCTAAGACTTTTTAAGTCAATAAGCCAAACATTTTCCATATAATCCATTTTATAAATTTGATGAACTCCCATTTTTTTTTTGTTTTTCTAGTTGTTTTGTTTGAAAAAAAAACTCTTCAAAAAACAAGGTAAATAGTCTATTGTTGCAGCATTCTGAAGAATATCTAGACAGTTGGTAACACTTGAGCCATCAGTGATGTCCCAACTTGTTTTATCATTTATGWCAAGGAAAACCCTTTAGGGGTTCAGGTGACAACCTTTTGGGGGTTCAGGTGATGTGGATCTTTACCCACAGGATCATTCTGTGTCTTGGTTTATTATTTTGTTTTAATATTTAGTCCCATTTGATAATTTTTCCAGAATTTTACATTTTATTTATAATCAATAAAAGTTTCATTGGCCCAAGTGGCAGTAGGTTTAAAGAACTTCCACTTTACTTCAGCCATGGATTCATTCATCTGGAAGAATACAAGATGTATATACAATARCACCTTTGGACTTGACTCAATTGTTGAAGCTGAAAATTGACAGGCATCCCTCTTTATTAACCTTCCTGAACAAAATAGATCACTTTTTGTTCAAAGACAGCATGTAGAGGGATCACTTGGAAAACAAATTACACTCATATACAATGGATAGGACAACCTGCAGGTTTAAACAAATGACCCACTTGGAGGTTCACTGTTATTCTAACCTAGTTATACTAACTAGTGAGGCAAGCTCCACTCCAGGAAAGATGCAGCAATATACACCAAACCACCAGTAGGTGGAGGTAGTGGGAAACAGGTTAGATGGATGAAGTGTGAGTGAGCACCAAGCTGATGCTGCTTCAGAGCATATAAAGAATAAWCTAAATGGTCTTTCTTCAGTGATTTGGGGATGTATTGTTAAAATCTGAAACTATTTATTTCATTTTTGATAGCACCTTTCTCTTTAAATATTATTTAGAAATKGGCAAAAAAAACTCGTTTCTAAATACAAAAAAATATATATATATACTGAATTTCTACTACCAAAAAAAAAAAAGTAGATGGTAAGTACATAGATTACACAGGGAATTAATGATGTTATTATTCATCAGGACAATATTATCTTTTTATCCAAGATAAGTGGCCACATGTAAAATAAAAGACAAAATTTTACCAAACAAATATCCACCTCTACTTCAAACACAGTCAAAGTTCTAAGAAAAATGCTTCCAAAGATGATGACCTGTCGTTAGAAATCGCAAAMGCTGATTCATACTTTACTTTGATACATAAATCTTCTTTTAGGTTAAATAATTTTGAAAACATTTTCACTCATTAAATTCTAAGTTTTCTTGTGCATGTAAAAACTAAAAAAATGATAATATGTCCCTTCATTAGCAGARGAGAGACATAGATATGAACAAAATAAGTAAGTTTCATATTAAGGCTGTTAAATGACCTGGGTGGATGACTAACACCTGTCATTCCAACAGCTCAAGAGGTTGAGGCAGGAGGATCACAGGTTCAAAACCAGCTTCAGCAAATTAGCAAGGACCTAAGAATTTAGAAAGACCCTGTCTCTAAATAAAATTTGAAAAGAGGTCGGGATATGGTTCAGTGGTTAAGCAACCTTGGGTTCAATCCCCACTACACACACACACACACACAAAAAAAAAAAAAAAAAAAAAAAAAGACTCTCAGCTGTTTCAAGTATAAAATGAATTTCAATGACTATCATTTTTTATATGGTCCAAAGAATCCAGTTAAAGCTGTGGAAAGTTCACAGTGTAAAGTTCACTAATGTAAAGTCGCTTACAACTCTCAACATTGAAGATGCATGCACGTACTGGTTGTCTTGGTAATAATAAAAATCACAAATTTTGGTGAAGATGACATCAGATTTAGGACAACAAAAATGCAAGAATTATTAATAATAATTTACTTCAATAAGATTTATCATCTGAATTTATAGCAATTTCTTTCTGAGATGCCAACAAATATTTCTCTATCTATATATCATTTGGTGTAATAGTTAATACAATTTTTCTTTTGTAAAGAACAACTCCTTTTTGATTTCTGGTTTTGATTTATAGTTTTTTCTTCATTTAGTCTGCAAGTCATCATAGATTTGAGCTAATTTTTTCTTATTTCTTTTTTTATTTGTTCTTTTTAGTTATATATGATAGCGTAATTCATTTTGACAAATTTATACAAGTGTGGGATAATTGTTTTTTAAATAAATTGGTTTAACATCATTGATGCTCTTTTCATTAATCTAAATTTATTTTTACTTATACTATTTATTATGGATACTACTTGTGAGGCTAATCAAAGAGATGGAGTAGTAGATTAAATCTATTCTGTTGAGATAATTTTCACAGTGTCAGAAGTACAAAAGACTCCTTGGTTAATCTAAGATTTATATATTCACAAGCAAAATTCAGGAAAGAGCCACAAAACAAGATTCCTTTTAGAATTCAGAGCCTTTGATCTAAAACTTTGGCAAAGTTTCAAATACATTTTTAGTCTCCTTTCCTTTGTATATGCAAATATCTATAGAATATAATCTGTCTCTCTCATGGGAGTGATTGAATGTTAAGTTAAAATTGTATGTTTGGAATTATTTCCTGCCATATTGCATGCTCTCACGATGATCCTAGGCATAGCTATGTCAAACAATTTTATTGAGGCTTCAGGCACTTTTGCATGAACAGCATCTCCTGCAAGCATATGCAACACTTGTTTGACTGTCCCCAAATATCTCAAAAGTCACACTAAGAAAACCAGAGAGTCCACTGTGATTCCTCACTCTCACAAAAATGAGGTTCAAGGAGAATATATGCCTTAGGTAATGATCAACCAATGAAAGATAGAAGCTGATGAAGAAGTGCTTCTCCCTCTTGATCATATGCTGGAGTGAACAATTAAAAAAGTCATTGCACATTCTTCAAGAAAGTGCCTGCAGGATTGCATCCCAACTGTTCATCATGAAGTCATGCCAAAAAATGTGACTTTCTGAGATTTTCCTCTTTGGGTGTTTCCATGGACTGTCTTATGTGCTTTTTAGGGTCTTGTGACAAATAAACTGAACCCAGATCTTGGATTTTAACTCTGCTTTGAATACAGACTAAGACTAATGAATGAAAATGGTAATTCAATGGTGCTCAGGTGTAGGACTCTTAGCTTGAATAAAACTGAGCCTTGGAGAAGCATCGGGAGCTTACCTGTACCTCATTTGATCATTGATTCTCCTTGTACATGGTCAGAGATGAGGTTTAGGAAGAGCTCAACAGTGGGAGGCAGGAGTCCTGGCATTTAAATCAGCTAAAACCAAAGTGTCTATCCTGAAATTTGCTTAAAGCTCATTTTCCCTTGACTGAAAATCTATATTCATATACCAACCATACATAAGATTCTATGTATGTATACAGCTCACCTTATATATTACACACTATTATTGTTGTCCATATTTATAGTTTATGTACTATTTATTTTCTTATATCCACAAAAATGAATCTCCTTCATTCTCAGGCAATGAGAATGAGCAGCAATTCTCATTGCTGCTCAGATTGGTTTGCACATGTAAATAGTGATCTTCCAAGAAACAATTATTCCTACAAGGGAATGTATCAAATGGCAACAGAATTTTCTAACATTTATCAAAGTATATGTTCCCAAAACCCAGTTTCAAGTCAGAATAATCTGTATTTAAATCTCCCAAATCCTTGAATGAAAAAGCTCCATGCAAGAAATAATTATGCGAACAATGTATTTAGATGTCAGATTTCGTACATTTATTAAATTAAAATTTTCATTTTCAACTGTTTTGGATGAAAGTCAGATAATATACAACATTATTAACATTTAATTGGAAAGATCCTCATGAACTTGAGAGTTTGCTAGAAATTGAAGAGGCAAGAAGTTATCAATAGAAGAATAAAAGGAGCAAGTGACAAGAATGAAAATAATGCTACTCAAAGTAGACTTTAATCTACAGTTTCAGAATGCAGACATTTAGCAAATGAATCTATAGATGCCAGATCCACAGGCTGGTCTGTAACAAGAAGACTGGCAGCTTCTAGAAAGAAAAGAAATTGGGTTGCAGAAACTGGATCTGAAACCCTGGAAAGGGAAGCCAGAGACACCATAATTCAGGGATCTGAAGCCCCTGGATCCACAGCCCAGTGAGTAGCAGCTTCTAGATCCATAGCCCAGGGAGTGGCAGCTGCTGGAACCAAAGCCCAGAGATCCAGCATAGGTCCTCTGGCAGGGACTGTAGAGTGTGGATGTCCTCTGGCCATAGCAGGAAGGCTGGCAGGGGCTGGACACCACACAGGATGTTTGGCAGCTGGTGGGCTCACAGCAGGTCTCCTGACTGCCCCTGTAGTGAGAGGAGCCCAGCTGGCAGGTGCTGGGATAGCACAGGTCAGTGCTGTAGACCAGGTTGCTGGGGTAGGAAGAGCCACAGGAGCTTGGGAAGCGCAGGGAGCCCCCAAGGGAGCAGGAGGAGAAGTTTCCAGAGCAGCAGCTGGAGGACATGTTGAGAGGAGATGGGAGCTCAGCTGAGTGGAACTGAGAAGATTCTGAGTTTTAATGTCCCCTTCTGGAGAGAGGCATTTATATACTCTCAGCAATAGGTGTGGTACCCAACAAGGGCCATCCTTTACATATTTGTGTTCCCTCATTCACAAATGTGTAACTCAGTAATCTCTTTGTAATTGCTGTTGCGTTTGAATAGTTTTCCTCATAGTGCATTTATGGTGCTATTATTCTGTTGTTACAGGGAAAGCCAAGGAACTATTCCTATGTCAGAAATGCTATGACTGTTTTATATTATTGCCTGTTCCATCTCAGCAAGGGAAGAACTTCCTGCTTCTCTTTTACATGCTTCCTCTTTGACTACATTTGGCTTTACTGGTGGATGATTTTCTAAGATTAGAGAAAGAGAACATTAATTTTCTTTTGAAATAATAGATCAGTACTCACCTGGATCATTTCCCCATTGTCCATTATTCCTCTGTGGTACTTTATTATGGTGGTCACAAAACACTATCACACTAAGTACGCAGTCACAGTCTCTCTCATTCAATGAAGAGATCCAGAAAACAGATAAAGCAAAGAGACTAGGAAAAAGATGCCTAAAAACTGAAATAGACCTTGCCATGTTTTTAAGGACAAGTGGACACCAAAGGTATCCATTAAAACAGTCCCAGGGGATCAGTCTGGGTTCATTCCCAAGTAGCTGAAAGTCACTTTTTTGATAGGGGGAGAAAATTACCAATGGAGGAACAAAGAGAAGGCTCAAGAATTTCAGATGTTTCTTTTTGTGTTGCACTTTCAAACCATAATTTATCTTGTCCAATTTTCTTTACAAATCAAAAATTTTCAAAATTAGTATATTTTAGGAATTTTGATATGGCTACCCTCAAGATCTTTAATTATCCAGGGCTCGTACCCTTAGAATGTCTCCATCATTCCACAGTACAGATTTTCTATGACCCCTACTCCTTCCTCAGCAGGTACTACCCTGCCTTGTCCTGTCTAATCATGAAGTTTCTTTCTACCCCAGTTATTTTTCCTCTGCAGTTTTTTTGTTTATAAATATCTCTCTCATTTGCTTTGCCTCTTTATCAATCTTACCTCCATTTGCCTATTTTAATTTTTCTGTGTTGAAATTTGATTTAATCTTTTGTTTTTTATATTTGGCTTATTATTTTTATTTTTTGATGATTAGTTGGTTTGCTTCTGGTGAGCTCTTAGATCCAAAACTGAGGGGGAAAAAAGTTTGATTTATCATATTCCCAGAATATAATCAGCTATTTTCTATGTTCACTTAAAAATATTCTGCATTATAGCCAGGCATGATGGCTCACACCTGTAGCCCCAGTAGCTGGGGAGGCTAAGACAGAAAGATCACAAGTTCAAGGCCTGCTTCAGCAACTTTGTGAGGCCTTGAGTAACTATGGAAACCCTGTCTGAAAATAAAAATATTTAAAAAAATAAGGGGCAGGGATATACCTCAGTGGTTAAATCTCCCTGAGTTCAATCCCTTGTACAAAAAAAAAAGAAATGTTAAGACAAAAGTAGTTAAATTATATTCAGGACTAAAAAATGTATACTGCTGTATTGGTGGCAAAATATTCCTATTATATTTTCTAATAAAATCTAATGAAGTTACAGTAATAATGTAAGAAATGGAAAATGTATCGCAATTTTAAAAAGTAACATAATACAGACTTTCTAGAAGGAATGGGAATGATAGAAGAAGCTAATACCCTTAATTCAAGTAGCTATTCTATGAATCCTTTAGTTTTTATTCTTTAAAACCAGAATTCATGTCTTCTGATTTTATGCCTCAGCAAGGAGGTTAAGTGTCCTATCAATATGGTATTGCAGATGTTGTTCTTCTCTCATGTTTTTATGGTGTTGTTTCAAATATAACTATTTATAATAACTTTGAAGATAAAATTTAAGAGTTAAACCAGGTGCAGTGGCACATCCCTGTATTCCCAAGGGCTTAGGAGGCAGAAGGATTGCAAGTTCAAAGCCAGCCTCAGCCACTTAATGAGGCCCTAAAAAATTCAGCAAGACTCTGTCTCTAAATAAAATATATTTTTAAAAAGGGCTGGGGATGTGGCTCAGTGGCTAAGGACCCCAAGGGTTCAATCCCTGGTACCCCAGAAAAACAAACAACCCCAAAATACTTAAGAGTTAGAAGGGGACCATACATTTATAGTTCAAAACTGGAGGATTTATTAATTGTTCTTCAGTTACTCTTACTCCTTATTCAAGGATTTTTCTCTGAATTAGTGAATGGGAAAGAGATATTCTTCCCTTCGCTTTACGTCTAAATCTTTAAAACTTTGCCCATATTAAGTTAAATTTAAGGATAATTTATAAATGCCCCAGCTTTGAACTAAATTCATCTCAAAAGTTTTATTGCTTGTTCTTTGTAATACAGATATCATTTTTAACTTAATTATTAAATGTTGGACTATTTCACTTAAAGTGTATGAATTAGACTTAGGCACACAGAGGCTTCTGATGTTTTGTTTATAATTTCTCATCATCAGGCTACAGTTAAAGTGATTTTGATACTGGCAGTGTGCTTCTAGCTGAACTTCACCCATAGTTGAGAGTTACAGCTTTTGCTTCCTACCTACTTCTGTTCTCAAAATTACCATGTTCCTAACATACTGGAGATACTAGTTTTATCAATCACTTAAGTTATGACTTTGATAAACACAAGCCAACTTTTACATAAAATCGTTGTTAATCACTTATTCTATTAAAAATTGTCACAAGGTATAATTTATTGTTGTTGCTGTTAGATGACTTTTGAATTCTTTATTCTCAAAAGTACATGAATTAAAGAAAGATACCATAGGTATTTTTCTTAAATATGCCATGTGCAATACTAAAGCAGATTTCTTCTTTAATATATTATTGGGATTTTTCTCCAGGAATCATTTTATAAAAATTTTATGAAGAGGAGACACACTGAAAGTTGTCCAAAAAAAACACATTGATGAAGCATCCAAATATGTTTTTTAATACATAGTCTTCCCCCCAAATATTGAAAACTTGGATTCAATATAGGCTCTTTATTTGGGAGGTTATCCAGGTAAACACCTAAATGGAGAGGGAAAATCCAACAAAGAATAGAAGGAGCACAGACAGGCTGCATTATTTCTCCAGCTGTCACTCTGGGACTGTTCCACTGGAGTTCAGGTCTACTGGAGGATCCTTGGTAAGAGTGCAGTGTGCTTTTGAGAAGTGAAAAAGACCACAGACAGAATTTTATAGATGCTCTATAAAATCAGTCTTCAGTGTATACAGATGATTCCCCATGGGTGATAGGCAGAGTACTCACAGCTGCTACTGAGGGTGGCATGTCCTTTTGAAGACCATAGATAACAAAACAGATGAAAATAAGCAAGGTAGCCTCTGGAAGGATGATACTGGAATAAAAGGCAGGATGGTATAAAACCATGAGGTGAGTTTTAAACTGCATTGTGACAGTAGAAAGCAGATGCATGTGGTATAAAAATGACAGTGTTAGAAACTCAGGCTTGAAACCCTCAACTACAGCAATTTGAAATTGCAGAATCCTGGAAGGTTGCTTCTATTGCAATTGAAGCTACAGCAATGGACTTTTAAATGGCCAACCTCATGGTAGCTACTTTTTTTATTTGAGTCATTCTTATATTTTGAAAATAAATACATCTTTCAAAATTATATGAGTAATTGCACGTGGCTGAACATATTAAACCATTTGTTCTAATGTACATAAAATACTTGGATAAAATGTATAGAAGTGTGTGTGTATATATGTATATGTGTGTATGTTCACATGCATATGCTCTGTGTATGTATTCAAATTTCAGAGAAATATCAAAACACAAAGATACTCTGAGCTCCAAAACTGAAGTCAAAAGAAATGAGCCTGCACCTGTAGCTGCAATTCCCTTAAAATTCTATGCTGATTTTCAAAGTAGTGATTAAGAGACTGAGGGAATTTTCACAAACTCACAGGACTAGAGAAACTAAATTGGAATTCAGGCCTTATCAAAGACTTCGGGCTCTGGGAAATATCCCAGACCTTAAAGAACCACTTCTTAGAAATAAAATTAAATTTCTACTAGACTGCTTCTCATAAGGACTGAAGCCCAGGTTTAAATTCTATCAATCCCTGATTGGATTAAGATGATCTAGGATACGGGCGTCTTTATTCTAGCAGCCTGTCAGAAACAGAAGAAAATTCTCTCTAGAAAAAGGTTAAATTATCCAGTTTTTTTTTTTTCATATAAAGTGTGTATTATTCACTCCAAACATAATAAGAATAAAAGAAGAAAAAAACTCAAAAAAACACAAGAAAGTAGAATCTGAATCACAGGATCCATGTAATGCACAGGACAAAATCACACATTAAAATACAGCCGTGAATCACATAACCATGTTTCAGTCCATGACAAATTGCACATATAGTGGTAGGTCCATAAGACTGCACCTTCCGGTGACTCAGAGCCTTCTTTGTTGAAGGAGACCTCATGGCATTGGAAAAGGGATGCCCTCACCTTTCTCATTAAATGACACATGATTGCACCTATGTGAAGAATTTTGCAGTAAGAAATGAGAGCACTTTATTCTCAATAAAAAGTATGTTTAAAAAATGTAGGATAAGACAGAATTTTGATGCAATATTGAAAACAATGCAATAGTATCTAACCAAATTTAAGAAATTTGAAATACAGTAACAAATTTGAAAAACTTGATGAATTTTGAAGGGAGATTAAACATAGATTCATAGGCAGTGACCTAAAACAGAGAATAGAAGAAAATTCCCAAACTGAAACATAAAGAGACAAAGGATTTGAAAATGCAGAAGAGATTCTAAAAGGTATATTCCACCTAGTTACAAAGTGTGACTTCTAATTGGAATCTAAGAAAAAGTAGAAGCAGATGGGACAGAAACAATATCTGAAGAGAACACAGTTGAGAATTGACTGCATTGATAAAAGGCATGAACTCACATGTGAAATTTCACATGTGAAATTGTAACAACAACAACAACAACAACAAAA